CTCCGCCCTCATTACCACAGAAAACGATACCTTAAAGGAATCTTCCACGGAAAGAGTGATCATTTTGTCTTGTGTGTAGGATTAGTATTATCGAAACTAACGCTTATGTTCCGTTCTTTTTGCTATGCTCATGAGGCTAGGGGCCTAAGGGGTATCGTTTTTCTGTGGTAATGGAGGCGGAGCTTTTTCCGCGGAAGATTCCTTTAAGTGAGGCATGCATTCTTCTTTCCATCAATAATAAACGTCGCTGAGCGCTGAAAACACAAAATGGATTGATCAAGGCAGCTGATTTAAATGCTTAGTTTTCCACTCACATGGAAAAGTTTCAGTGGAGCGGCAGTTCCAAGAGGATTCATGGACGATATCAGCGGAATCAATCTCAAAACCCGTGCCAGCTTAATGGCCTACCCTGTACTTCCCACATTCTCTGTTACCGTAAGCTTTCAACATCAGTGCACTTTAGAAGGGCGCGTAGCCCTGCCCCAGGTAAAGAAAGACCAAAATTATTTTCATCTTGATGTGAAACAGTTTAGATGCTTTCTTGTTGTTTGCCGGCCTTACTGAAAACAAAAGCCATTCTTCCGATGACTTTGTACACGCATAAGAATAGAAAGATTCGTTTAAACAATATATGTCCTTTTTATCTTTCCATATATCCTTCTACATACATTTTTACTTTATACCGTACTCGCTTACCATACCTTCCTCTACAAGGTAATAAAAATTCCACCGGCCAAACAAATACCTGGGATGTTGCAAATATATGCTATGTATGCACGGTGCCCACATAATGGATCCGTATGGTAATAAGCTGTCCCATAATTAGTGAATCACTTTGGGGCTTTTTCAATTTTAATTTTTTTCTTTTTTATGAAGTGCTTGCTCATCCAAACATACACCTCTGTTATCTACAAACTATTGCCTATACATGGAAATTTAGTCGCTGTCTTTTCTCTAGAATTCCAGGAGCTATTGATCGAAGAAAGATCGGAAGTCGGTTTGAGGTCATGTCACTTAGCGTAAAATTTCTTCCTGAAGAAGAGCGCTATAAGTCAGACTAGTTGTCTTGTTGGTACGAGGATAGGGCCACATAGAGCTGGAAAAACTGCTAGCCCGAATGTCTCCGATTTGATTGGTCCCCCTCCAAATTCTTTATGCCAACGTTCCGAAAGGTGATGAATGACCGCCGAAAAACCTACACTTTGCTTGCCTTTACTTCAGATAGACGCATCGCCATATGCTCCGAAGTTTGCCTTAGTCAGCTGACCCTAGTAATACGGCGACGAACACCAGCCTTCCTGCTCCGCTAACATCTCAGAAAGTGTTGGACCCAATGATGCTTTGCTTTTGCTTGTCCCGAACTCCCCGATCATTTCAGCCAACACTGCCTGCTCCTTGTGTCGCTAGCAACTTTGACCCACTTCCCAACACTGTGAACACTGATGATCACTGACATGAACCTGGGCAAAACCAGAGAAACCTCGATTCACATCGGTGTTCGGGAAAATTCCCAGGAAAATTGGATTAAGCCCCAGGAAGGCACATGGAAGGCCTGAGTAAGTCTCACGTAGGACAAGCGGGTACTACATGCAAACATACTTCACGCCTCCAATTTCCTTGAATTTATTAATAACAGAAAAGATAAATAAGTCCTAAATGATTCACTAATCAATGGGACAAACCAAAAATAGAATGAAATATTCATAGCGCCGCGGTACGCGAAATAGAGTAAAAACAGTACCCCGCCACACTGCCTTCAGCTAAAACAACTGGATATCACCAGCGCTTGTGAAACGAATTCTCACGCTTTGACGTCAGGAACATAAACAAGATCGATATATAAAATAGGACCTCAATCCAAGCCCGTTATAACATATACACCGAATCAAAAATCCTATTGTGCTTAGATAGGCCAACCGTTGAGAGAAACTAGCTTATTGTCAGATGAAAATACCTGGGTTTTGATAGAATATGTGTTTGTTGAGCTTCTGACTATGGTGTGATTTTGTTTACCACCTTTACAGAGGCTATGCCTAAAACAAAGGGAGCATGTTTGACCATATGGCTTAATGTGGTATAGCATTCCCCTGAAGAATACCCGATTTAAGATCTCCTATGTTTCAATATTTCTTTTCATGTCAGACTTCTCCAGAGTAGCGATGAAGCTTCAACAGTCGATCGCGCTGAACGCCCTATGGTTCGAGAGAATGAGTGGACCGCTACGTTCATTGTCTTAGGTGTGCCTGTGGGCAACCGGAGACGGATGAGTGGCTGTGTTCCCGAAATAGCTTATTTCGTCCCAATTGCCTCAGAGCCTTTCGTGACTAGCTGTCGTCGGTCACATTCTCCTCCTATTCTTTCACTCAGCATCTCGCATCCACACACGCTATGTCGATGAGCGTCTCACCTGTTTGACCGCGCCCCACTGTGTGTGTGTGACCACCACACTTCTATCACTGTTCGCTGCTCACTCTTTTCAGCTCTACTCGCGGCCACTTTTAATTTCTGCGCTACCGAGCAGGAGCTACTGCTGTGGGGAAACATGCGGTTGCTTCTACAGATCGCCTTATTCTCAGTCTGCTCCTCTATTGTTACATGTGCCGGTAGGTCTTCATTTTCCTCCCAAAATCGCTTCAATTAAATTTAAGGACTCATGTATTTCTGTCGGCTGCTTTTCGGCTACTTCAGGATCATACTATGCCTTGATCGATTGCTCTAAAGGACCCAATATCACTGTACGCATATTGAAAGTGGAATTTACATGGTGTAGGAAAAACCAGTCAAAATAATGCCGGTATAAGATTTTAGCGCATTCGGGCTACGTTTAGCTTTTCGTTACATAGTTTTGTTCCACGGAGCAATTTTACCGAAGTTGCCCGATTCTGGCTAGTGCTGAGCTTCTGCAAACAGAGGATATTCTTCCAAAATTTATTCAGTTCTATAGCAACACGAAATCAGCTGTTCAATCAGGCGATTAGTTGCATAATGAGTTTGTTTGCTCTGTTGCGTGATGGGCTTATTGTGTGAGTAAACATGCATCATTTCTCTTGTTTCATATGGCCTCGGCAAACAGAAACCTCAGAACTTTTCAAGTGTGCCGTCACGTTTTCTTGCTGGACGCAAATTTGCAGCATTCCATGCTCACACTAGGCCCATACGGCTGTGCTTAGTGTCCCGGCAAGAAACTGCAGGGATAC